CCGACCCGCGCCCACCCCTACTGAAGACAGAGGAATTTTACAAACAACAGAGAAATATTATCACTCTGGTACACAATTGCTGAAATAACCATACATTAAATGAAAAGAAAACACACATCTTGGCAAATAAACTGAAATATCAATTCTTATATATTTTCTTTGAATCCAATGAAAGGGAGAAAGAGAAACAAAAAGTATGAGAATAATATAATGATACAAAGAAATAGGGAAAACCAAATTTAATCAAACTGATCGCCTGTGCTGCTCCCTTCTTCAAATCATTTCCTTAACTTACCCAATGTAGCATCCAATAAGTATACCAAAAGAACATGTAATTGGAAAGAATTAATATAAATGAATGCAAAGAAAGAGGTAGAAGGGAAGAAATCAAACCTTCGAGAATATAGAGCAAATGACAAAGAATCTGCACCGACGCTCATTTTCGTGTCTTGGCGGTAGTATTGCTAGGGTTTCGGGAACTCAAATCTCGACGATGGCTGGAGGAATCAAAGGGTTTTGGGGCATGAAATTTGGGAAAGGAAAAAGAGGGTGAAGAAAGGATAGAAAATATGGTGTAGTTGCGTGTGAAAATGGAGAAATGTTGCGTGAAGTAAAAAAAAAATGAATTTTGACTACGATAGGAAATCGCGACACGTGGCATGCCAAGATTTTGCCTCTTTTATTTTATAGTGATTATAGATTTTTTTTTATTCAAATACATATGATGATTGTTATGAGTTGCCTGCATTGTCACCAAGTACGTAGCAATAAATTAATAGTATTGCATTGACCTATCACTTTTATTATTATCTTATCGTGTTCAACTACTTTTTAGCTCCTGTTTGACAATCATTATTTTCGAAAAAAATGTTTTCAATAGTGTTTTTTAGGAGAATGAGTAATTAAAAAGTAGGGAAAATAAATCTTGACGTGAATTTTTTAATTGAGAAAAGAAATGGATGTACCTTTATTTGACATTTCCTGAGAATTTATAAAAATAATATTTGGCCTTCTTTTGACGAGAAAATAAATTTTGTGGATATTTTATCCATTATTATGGGTTTTAATTCAAACAATTATCATTGTTGTTATGAAACTTCAATTTGGGCAAGTAAAGCACGTAACAATTAATTAATGATACTATATTCAATCATCATTTTTATTATCCTATTATCGTCCCGAACTACTTTTTAATTTACAGACAATAACTAATTATTTATTAATATTTTTAATAAAAAAATTAATAACGGTAACTTGTTCACAAATCGTCGTTTCTCACCAAATAAAATTTATTATGGAGTTTTCATTCAAAATTGTTGATAAACTATTAGACCATGTTTGATTGCAAACTTTTCCATCCGAGGAAAACGAATTACACTTTGACTGTTTGATTGCAATATGGAAATGAAAATCGAATTTCAAAGTACAACCACTTTAAACTGCATTTTCTTTATTTTCATGGAAAACGAATTCCTATGAATTTGGTGGGTTTTTATTTTTCAATTAACATAGAATTGAAATTTTTTTCCACATTTGTCTATCAAACGGACCCTTAGTGGGTAACTCGTTATTGATGGCTCGTCTTTCAATCTTTTTTAGTATGTACAAATTGCTTCCTCAAATAATGGCCACACTATAATTTTTAAAATGAATGCAAAAATGTATCTATTATTTAAAAAAAAAAATAGAATTCTAAAACTTGAAATGAGATCAAAATCTTAAAATTTAAAATAAAAAATTATTTTCAATCACAGCTTCTACTTACTACCGCTCTTATCCAATCACAAATTCTACATCTCAAATTAAATCAAACACGCACGAATTCAACTACTTTTTAATTGATAGATGAAAAATCTTAGCGACTTCAACTACTTTTAATTTATCACAACTACAAGCACTATAGTTAAAATTCATCATCAAAATCGACTTGTAAGAAAAATAATACACTTGCAAACTTACAAAACAAGTTTTGAGTATATATATTATTCCAAAAGGTTAATAATATTCAATTATTACATATAAGATACGTGATGCAATTATGGGTGTGTTTGGTAGAGATTTTTGAGAGAATAATTGATTTTTGAATAGTGATATAATGAGAAATCTGTGGTTGAAAAAGAAGAAAAAGTATTGATGTGATGAAAAATATTATTTTATTGAATAATGTGTGGTTGAAAATGAGAATTATTTTACTATAGAAAATGAGAATCTGTACCAAACATGTCTTACATATACTACGCCCTTATTTGATAGAGATTAAAGTAAAAACTTTAACAAATTTTGATAAAAGTTTATGGAATGTGTGGTTAAAAAGTTTTGAGTCCTACGAAATGTGTGGTTAAAATTAATTATTGACTTTGATTTAGATTTTAATCAATTTTTTAACGATGCCAAATATGGTTTTGCGATTGTTTGATACACATTCTTACAAAAATTCATTATTTCAAAACTCATTTTCAAGCACAATTTATTCAATAAAATAATATTACACGTAAATCTAAAATTTTCCTTATTTTTTAAACAAATATTTTCCATCACATCACATCATAAAATGCATTTTCTTATCCATAATGTACATCAAGCACTCCCTATGTCCTGTTAGAGGAGAATTAAAATTAAGATTTTAATTTAAATCAAAATTAATAATTAATTTTCAACCACCTATTTCATCAATTTTTTATAGAAATCTATTAAATATCTAATTTTTAGCTGACGCATGATCAATCTTTTATTAATATTTTAAATAATAAATCCATAATAACTTTTTCCCGAACAAAGATTCTACCATCCAATTACAGATTCATTTACGAGAATCTCGTGCCAGAATGATTTGACAATTTGTGATTGGATGGTTGAAAAATATTTTTGGCACAACTACTAATGAAATTCTGTTAAGTGTGGATCTGGCGCCAATGAATATGTACATATAGCGTAATTCTACTTCAAGTAATAAATTAGATTACTATCCCCAACCACCGGTGCATCATTATCTTAGTAGGGAGGGACCACAAACGGCGTCATAACGGCACCGTCAAGGACTCGGAAATCAAGGGAAAATGAAAACAAAGAAGCTGACGTATCAACCGAGGTGTCCTCGTACAATATTTAATTATTATTATTCTGAATGTTGATTTAAAGATTTTATATATTATATATTAAATTAAATAACCTTTTGGTTTATTATTTTTTTAATTTCTCTTCGTATCCCACGTGAAACAAGTAATATACATTCATAGGTACCGGAAATAATTTCCAATATATTTTAAAAGCGAATAAGTTAAAAAGTTCGTACTTAAATAAACAAATATTCATCTCTACGTAATTGACTATTTCTCTCTTGAAGAGCTTTTATGCTATTGTTACAAGGACGGATTTCTAAAGTTTCGAAAAATGTTATATTCTAAACGTAAAGTACATGCCAAGTTATGAACATAACTACAGTATCAAAGTGCTATTGTGTGTGTGTGTGTGTGTGTATATATAATTTAAATCAAACACATAATGTGCAATTTTTATTACATCATTTAACACACGAATATATATTTGAATCTATAAATTTTTCCACTAGAGTAAAACTTGTTACTCCCAACTGACGAAAATTGTTGAATGTCTGATGAAAAATATACGTGACATCTTGACAATATTAAATTGTCCACCTCGATAAAATTGTACCTAGTTGCAACCACATAATTCCTGACAACTTGCCTAAATTCCTCGATGTCATTGAGCTCCTTCCAAACCTCTAAATGTCGATTGAAGTTTATATCAATCAATTAGGTGCATTTTTTTCCCCATGTGGACAATTTATCATCATCAAGTGGGAGTAACAAGTTTGCAATGCTCCCAAGATATCCTAGGTAAAGTTGAGGCATGATTTTTGGATTTATTTGTGTGATTAATTGAAATAAGACTTCATTGAAATTGGGATGAAAGTTGAAAGTTACAAGAACTCAATTTCATGAGATTTGAATGTTTGGTGCAAGGGCCAAAAAGTTAACTAGAGGAAATATAAACCCTCGTTTAGCAATTTATGGTAGAACATTTGACAAGTTCCTTTAATTCCTATTATTGTTTATTTCATTCAATCCAAAGTAAATGAAATCAAATTCTTAAACGATACGAAAAATGATGTTTGTTGATCGAAAGTTGGTCATAAAAACCATGCATATAAGTGCATAAGAAACCTGGATTCTCTAAACTCGTAGAACTTTACCCACATTGCAAAATATGAGACTCAAAAGTAGACAATAGAGTCTTTCAAACGAATGAAAGAGAAAGTTGAATTCAAAGTTAACAATACACTTTCATATTACTAATTACCGCATGAATTATGGTTTATCTTTAAAACCAACTTACGAATATAGATCGTGCTTAGTTTGTTTATAAATTCGCAAAACAAGCTCTACACGAATGATCGAATATGAGACTCAAAAGTAGACGTTAGAATATTTCGAACGAGTGAAAAAGAAAGTCGAGTTCAAATTTTGTTCTCTTCTGGATGAATGTCCTGTTCTTTGCAACTGCACTCTTTCCTCTCTCTCTCTCTCTCTCTTCTGTGAAGAATTATTCTGCTCTGTTTGTCTCGCCGTCAATTGCTTCACTAGATCTTGACCGCAAACAATTTGGTGAGTCTGATTGTAAACGCTCGCCTAAATTCATCAAAATTTTCGTTATCATAAATTTTTAACAGTTGGCTTTGAAAAAACAAATAAATAATCTGTATCAGATTCAGCACGAGGATAATGTCATTTTCTGTTTATCTAATGCAATTTTATACTTTAATATCAAAATTGAAGGAAATTCATGCTCTGCTTGTTATGATTTTTCAAAATTGACAGAATATTGTGCTGCTTTTTCTTTTTATAGTTTATTTTTTTTTCCCAGTTCACAAGGTTTATATTTTGTGTTGAATAATTTGTCATTTTTATCTGGCAGAAATGTCAATAATCAGAGTTGACAGCGATGAAAAACTGGCGAGAAGTGATTCTCCAGTGTTGTGAATTACTTAAGGGCTGACGAAGTCTAAAAAATTACTCAACAGAAAAAGCTAAAAAGAAGAGGGGGTATAAGAAACACACGAACACTGCAGGATGGATTATAAGCAAAAAGGTTTGGTCTCGGAATTGATCGGTTGTTCTTGGGTTTCTCTGACCCCAGCAGAGCCGATCTGCACAGAATGGCAAGATAATCGGGGGTTTCATACTGATGGGCAAAAATCAGAAAAAATCTTGCAAGTAAATCAGATAGGCCAGGAGGAGATTGATCTGACAAGAGTATCAAAGGGGTTCCCGCTAGAAAATCCAGCTGCATGTTGGAATTCGGCAAATGCTCTAAACATATATGGAAGTTTCAACACTCGGGAAGCAGACATAGCCGCAAAATCCCGAGTTAATGGTGATGATTTGTGCAGGAACAGTTTTTCTGTAAATGAAGACGACATGTGGAGCAGGGTGTCTTTTGGAGAACTCTTGGCTCTAGCAGATGCAGCTGGCGCCAATGCAAGTGCACAGACTGCTTTTAATGCTACAAGCAGCTCTTTCGTGCCGAATTTACAAAATTCAATTGATGGTAGACTGTGTACAATATCATCCGAAAATTCTTCACTCGCAAATTTTGACGCTTTTCTAGGAACAAAGCTTCCTGATGAATGCAACAGCATACAGAATATTCCCGATGGTGAGCGTCCTTAATTTAGCTTCTCTTTTTAGTACAATTTGTTGATACGGTGATTGCAATTATTGCTATATTGCCAAATGACATTATGAACCATAGTATAAAGACAACTGATATAACTTCAAGGTGGAAAAGACTTATCAGCCATGAATTGGGATAAAAAAAAATTCATTGTGCACGAGGCAAGATTCATTTTTACGAATGTTGCAACTCCCAGTGCCTCATTCTAAAACTGCGTAGAAAGATGGAAGGGATTAAATGAAATATCAAAATCAGAATGAAGCATGAGAAACAGGGTAAGAGAATTTGTAACAGAGACAAGCATCTGTTACAACTAAAGCTTCAATTTGCGAGCTTTCCAGCAATGATTTCATCAGCACAACACAGCATTAGCATCTTAAAAATCAAATGTACTTTTAGGCAATGTATATCTTCACGAGAAACAGAAGAATAGCTGTGCTTTAATATCTGCAAATGGTTTCTCTTTTCCCTGGCACTAATATGAATTCAAACTTGTGTCCTACAGACGGAAGGTGTATCCATTCCAGGTCCTCCTTTGACCTCAATTTTCCATCTAGGATGGCAGACTCAACCTTTAGCGAGGTGGTTTCATCCCAGTTTGCACCTATAACGCCAGAGAAGACCGCAAGAACTGATGAAAGACCGGGGCTGGCCATGCCAAATTTAAGCAGAGATGAGATGCTCCGTACACAAGATGTTCAGCAGAAGGAAATTGCCTTCGAACTAGAGGGATTTCTCCAAACGAAAGAACAGTCTCAGTTGGCTGTTGATCATGTATGTGAAACCATGTCCAGACAGTTGGAGGAGAATCACAAGCCTGACAAGGGAGGCACTGACGACGTTGACTTGAGCAAAACACCACTGCTGAAACCAAGGAGAAAAAAGCACAGGCCAAAAGTGATGAAAGAAGGCCAATCTCAAATAACTCCTAAACCAAGTGTTGGAAGGCCTTCTGATCCCCAGGAAACCACAAGAGTAAAGAGAAAGTATGTTCGGAGAAAAGGAGTTAATAATCCCACAACAGATACTCCCCTCGAGAGGGAAATAAATGGTACTGATATAAACAAAAATGCCCCGAGTTCCAAGGAAACCATGACTGGTAAGAGGAAGTATGTCAACAGAAAGGAAGTCAACAAACCCGCAGCAACTGGCCCGGACCAGGAAACCTGTGAAACAACTGATCCAAAAACGGTTCAGCACACCAGAAAGACCTGCAGGAGATCACTGAATTTTGACGTTGAAGGCCAAGTAAGAGATGAAAACTCACACCACCGTCCATCTTCAAATTTGGAATCACAAGCACAGAACTTCAATGGTAAAGATAAATCAGGATCAACCATTCAGTGCGTACAGGGGACGGAAGCTTCAATGAAGAAGACTGAAGTGAACATTGCTTATGATTTTACATGCTCCATGAAGCAGATAATGGAAGGTTACCTGTCAAAACCTGAAGGACATTCTTCTAGCCCCTCACCTCATTCCAAGACAGATACACTACATGATAAATCGACACTGACGGATCAAAAAGCATGTACAAGAGGAAAATGTCAAATAATATTTTCGGATTTCATTCACGATGAAGAACGAAATACTGTACATGTTATTAAGAATTCCGATGCTGGATTGATACAGAAGAGCCCGAGTGATTCCGATAGCAGCAGCACGGCATGCTTGACAAAGGAAACACAAGAGAGAGGATTAAAAAGCCAACATATGGGTACAACTGTTGAAGCAGAATTTTGCAGGACAAATTCAACTGGGACTTTACACAATTCTTTGCAGGCATACAGTGCTTTATTTCCACAATATGCATATAACAATGATTGCACTTCTGGCGTGCATTTTCCTGCAATGTGCAGTACAAAGAGAATTGAGAAAGGACACAATTTAGTGACTTCCAGAATGCTCTCCACAGTTATTGCCTCAGAAAATCATGAAGTTGCAGCAGCTGATGGTTCTCAGAATGAACAAAAAAATTTCAAATTTCTGTCAGCTTTGGGAACTTCAGACATATTGGAAAATAGATCCAAAGGAACTGCTCCAATATGGAACTTGGAGTCACCCCTTGAAATTTCTGAGCAATTGCCAGCTTCTCCATGCAGTGGAGTAACAACATCGAAACCTGCACAAGGATTTGAAATTCTAAACCAACCACATAAAAAGAGATCCAGAGGCCCTGCTCAAGGTCCAAAAGCCCTTACTGCTGATACCAGAGCAACAATGATGACAAAGAAGCGACCAAAGAAAAACTTTCTTATCAATTCAACAGTGCAAAACATACATAATGACCACCAATTAGTTGCCAGATCGATGGGTGATTCCAATATACATATATGGTTGCTGTTTTTCAGAAACTATCCTTTCTGATGCACTTGTGACATTTAATGCAGGTACTCCGCTGGCTATAACATGGATGTGCAAGTCTCCAGTTGATGCTATCATTGAGCAATTCAACCAACTTGATTTAAATGCAAAGAGCAGCCAAGAGCATAATGCATTTATCTCTTACCATATGAATTACCAAGAGCAACATGCCCTAGTTCCATATCAAAGAAATGGAGCTCTTATCCCTTTTGATAGCTCATTTGATCAGGTTAAAAGAAGTCGTCCACGGCCAAAAGTTGACCTTGATGATGAGACAAGCAGAGTGTGGAAACTTTTGTTAGAGAATATAAACAGTGAAGGAATTGACGGCACAGATGAAGAAAAGGAAAAATGGTGGGAAGAAGAAAGAAGAATGTTCCGTGGAAGAGCAGACTCATTTATTGCACGCATGCATCTTGTCCAAGGTATTCTTACACAGATATCAAATTAGCCCACTGGTTGTCTTCTTAATAAGTTTCAGCTAAAAATTTGTTTTATCTTCCCCAAAGTACGCTATAAAATAAAATGTGAGTATTATTAATGGTATTGTTGAACTAACCAGAGGGTTGGAAAAGGACAACTATTGGATGCACATACATGCATTGACTATCCAGAATAATGAGGAAAGGAGATATGTAGCCAATTATGCAATCAACATGCAGATACTAATTAAACATCTATCCATCCACATATACACGTTAATATAAATATTTTGCTTGTTATGTATGAAACAGAGTAACAAGAACATTGCACCTTAACCATCCCAGGAGCCTAATACACTGTCTTGTGCTTCATCTAGAATATGAAATATTTTTTGATTCTATTTATTGGGTTAGCTCTACCTTTTTGTACACTTCACATGGCTATATATTGTCTTGCAGGGGACAGGCGGTTTTCTCCATGGAAGGGATCCGTTTTAGACTCTGTAATTGGTGTTTTTCTCACTCAGAATGTTTCAGATCACCTTTCTAGGTTTGCTGAACTAGAACCTTCTACAGAATTCATATTAACAATTTAAACTTCTATAGAGCTCAGCTGATCCCAAGGAAAATCAGTTAATATGCTTATCCACTCTTGCAGCTCTGCCTTCATGTCACTTGCTGCCCGATTCCGGTTCAAATCAGAAAGCAACCAAGGACAATCTTGTCAAGAGAAAGTAAACATCCCAGTCAAAGAACCTGAAGTGCACAATCTGGATACTGATGATACATTTGGATGGACTGAAAGGTTAAATAAGCTAACTTGTAGAGAAGATTCTAAGATGCTTCAAGTCTCTGACTACAATGACATTAGAGAAGTTGAGAGTGTCAAGTCCCCTGGAGATAGCTTTATTGTCAACATACCAAAAGATAACTTAAGCCGTCAATTGTCAGCTGTCTCTAAAAATAGTCCAGATACATCCCATGAATCTGCAGTGAACAAGTCAATAGGTTTTATTGGAGATGAAAGGGACTTGGATGATACACTCTCTTCTCAAAATTCTGTGATTTACTCTAAAAATTCTGCAGATTCTATAATAACTCAAAGTGCAGAAAGAACTGAATCTTGCTCACCGAGAACCTTAGAAGCAGAAACAGCATCTGGAAGGAAACCAAATAGTATTTGTTTCTCTACTTCTAATCTAAAGATGTCACAGATGTCATGGACTATACTAAATGGAGCTCACAATCAAGGGAATGGAAACAAATTGTGCAATAGGGATGGGCAAATAGAACCAGAAAGTATGGCCTCTGACTCACAAAATAAAAATGAGAGTCAGTCATATATTACCTGCAGTGAGCCAGCTTTGAATCTGAAACCCAGTTCAGGTGCACAAGTAGCAGAATGCTTTGATCTACCTCAAAAGAATGGCAAAAGCTCAAATATTACCAATGCTAAAGAACCTTGTGATACTGAACTAAGTGGGTTGTCCGCAGAATCTGCAACCAAAGCCACAACTCAGAAGTTCTTGGCTATCAGTCGTGAAGTACCAAAATCTGGCAGTGAAAAGGTACACTCAAGCAACAACTGTCAAATTGACATGTACCAAAAGATAGCTGAAAATCCTACAGGAAAACTGAAGTCACAGTTTCACTTTCAAGAAAATAACTATAAAATGCAGGAAGTATCAAACATCACGACGTTTCCACAAAATTTGACAGATATCACAGGTAGTAGCAACATTGATAATTTAAGAATTCCCGAGCACAATGAGATTGGCTCAAATTTGAAAATTCCGGGTAAAACAGCTAGTGAACCTAAAGCAAAAGAGGGAAGAATTAGAAAAGAGAAACAGAAGCCAGTCGATTGGGATAGCTTAAGGAAACAGGCACAAGAAGGTGGCAGAAGAAGAGAAAGAACAGCCAACACAATGGACTCGGTAGACTGGGAGGCAGTAAGATGTGCAGATGTTAATGAGATTGCAGAGACCATCAAAGAAAGGGGAATGAACAATGTGCTGGCAGAGAGAATCCAGGTTTAGTTTGCAACAAAGAATCAAATCTTTCAAATATTTATTATCTCTGTTGGCACATAATACTCTAACATCCAGCCAATCCATTTTTAACAGTTGATAACCATTTGGAAAACTTGTGCAGGAATTCCTCAATCGCCTTGTTAGAGACCATGGAAGCATTGATCTGGAATGGCTAAGGGATGTTCCACCGGACAAAGCGAAGTAAGCTTGCAGGATTTTCCCAAATGTTTTTCACAGTCAAAGAGCATAGTGCATTTACAACTTCTTATACTTTTCAGAGAGTATCTGTTAAGCGTAAGGGGTTTGGGTTTGAAGAGTGTGGAGTGCGTACGGCTTCTGACACTGCATCACCTTGCTTTTCCAGTAAGATCTAAGCCCCATTACAGATCCTTTAAGCGATATGGAAGAGAATTCACTAACTTATTTTTATTTCCTATACTACTAAAAGGTTGACACGAACGTTGGGCGTATAGCCGTACGATTGGGATGGGTACCTCTGCAACCATTGCCCGAGTCACTTCAGCTGCATCTTCTAGAACTGTGAGTACTCCATTGTTCATTAGATTTTTTTCATGATACCGCAGCATCAAAAAAATAATAACCATGCTTTTGTCCTTGCATAGGTACCCTGTATTGGAGTCTATTCAGAAATATATGTGGCCACGACTCTGCAAGCTTGATCAAAGAACACTGTAATCATAATTTTTCTACTAATATGTACTTGCTAATCAATCATACCTAATTGATAATTGAAGTATAGTGTCATTCAATGGTTTGAGATGTTAATCATTGCAGGTATGAGCTGCATTACCAGATGATTACATTTGGAAAGGTATGCCACATTCACTGAAGGATGTCTTCTATATTTCAAAAATATTAAACACGTTTAAAGACATAAGCCAAAGGCAACCTCTTCTATCTTTTCAGGTGTTCTGTACTAAGAGCAAACCAAACTGCAATGCTTGTCCAATGAGAGGAGAATGCAGACATTTTGCGAGTGCATTTGCAAGGTCTATGCATTCAATTTTTACTGCAACTGAACAACCATATTTCCTTTTTTCATTATTTTTTTATAAGATCTTTTCTTTTAGGCCAGGGCTGCATTTCTCCATAGGTGTCTGGTTAATTAAAATCCTGTTAGAAACATTAGGAGAGTAAAGAACATTATTCCACATATTAATAACATAGACTTCTATACACCACCTATGGGACAGTAACGCCCAAAGAAATCCATATAAGAGCCAGAAACTAAGCCCCTATTTGATGGGCTTTTTTTCAAAACTTCTTTTTTTCTACGTACTTTTTTTTAACCGCACATTCACATAATAAAATATTCTACACATAGAACCAAAATTTTTCCTTACATTTTAACCATACATTCTCCAAAAGTTCATTATTCAAACATTATTTTTGCCAAATAATGGCCATCAAACAGGGGCTAAGTAAAACCCAATGAATTCCATATAAGAGCCAGAAACTAACTCCGTCCTATTAGATTTAGCAAGTATAAAACCAGATTATGAGCTTTGGAAACCACATCAGAACTAACTTAAGATGATATACTTCAAAATTCCCATATGAATAAGTATGAAACCATGTAAAATCATATTTTCATATAACTAAATCTCATTAATATGCATGCAGCGCAAGGCTTGCTCTCCCAGGAACTGAGGAAAAAAGCATTGTGAGTGCAACAGAAAACAATGCAGCTGAACAGAATCCATTGAAAATTATCAATCCTTTGCATTTACCTTTACCTCAAGCTAATCAATTGGAAGGGAACACTGAAGCCAGCAACTCCGAACCCATTATTGAAGTTCCATCTACACCAGAGCCTATTATTGAAGTGCCAGCAACTCCAGAACCGGACCAGACACAAGTTCCAGAATGTGACATTGAGGACGACAACTTCGAAGATCCTGATGATATTCCTACTATTCAACTCAATATGAAAGAGTTCGCTCACAATGTACAGGCAATAATGCAACTACAAGAGAGTGACATGTCAAAGGCCTTGGTAGCTTTAACTCCAGAAGCAGCTTCAATCCCAATGCCTAAACTTAAGAATGTGAGCCGACTCAGAACAGAGCACCAAGTGTAAGCAAATGTTTCTACTATTAGTCATGATTAATGTGCTACTACATAGGAACCAGTAGACATTATATTAGTATATGCCTGCTGTTCATTAACTTTTTGAGATTTGGAAGGCAACTTACTAGTAATATATCATAAAACTAAAGATAACATTATAACAAAACCAGTTATTCTTAGTTATGGGGAGCATGATAACATTTGACCATTTTTAAGGGGTACTAGTTAGAGTTGAACGTGCATTGCACGTTATTTTAAAATACTTTATAAATACCGTAAAAGTAATATTTGATATCAATTTTTTTGGAGGATTTGACGAGTACGAACTAAAAAATAAAAATAAAATTTAGGATAGAAATTTAAGAGAAGAAAATTGTACTCTCGAACCTTCAACTCCTATGATTCAAATTTTTTGTGATGATAAAATACTACAAATGAGCAATCTTTTTCATACTACATTTGGTACATAAGAATTAATTTCTAATACATGAATTTAAACACCCATTAAAATTTCTAGATACATAAATAGAAATAAATTCATCTATAATAACTCTAGATTCATCAAGTCAAGATTCATTGAGTCTAGATTAATGTGAATATTAATTAATTGGGAATTAATAAACGAAATTCATACATTACGAGAATTTTGTAGTATTTTGTTACTTATTAAAAAACAAAAACTAAGTTATTATTGAAATAATTGAATTGTAATAAGGCTAAAATCGTCCAATAAATGATTCTCACTTGATGTCATATTTAATTTATTATAGATTATTAATTATTTTCTCCTTCTACAGCTATGAACTTCCAGATTCACATCCTCTGCTACAACAGGCAAGCAACATTATATCAGCTTTTATTCATTATAAACTTTCACCAACATATACAAGCTGACATACCCTATATTTTCTTAATTTGTAGATGGATAAAAGAGAACCAGATGATCCCTGCTCGTACCTACTTGCAATATGGACTCCAGGTAAGAAGCAAGCACCTTTTTGGAGGATCAAAATAGTAACTGCTAATTTTATATTGGTGAACTGGTGAAGTATGTGATTTCTGAAGACAAAGCAAATTACACAATTAACCAACTAAAAATTTAACTTAGATCTAACTGATTCTACAACGCATGTCAATGCTCCATACCAGGTGAAACTGCAAACTCTATTCAGCCACCAGAAAGACAGTGCATCTCCCAAGAATCTGGCAAACTGTGCACCAATGAAACATGTTTTTCGTGCAACAGTACACGTGAAGGGAACTCCCAAACTGTTAGAGGCACACTTCTGGTAAGGAAAAGTTGTAAAATGTACTACTAAAATGGTATCCATAAAATAGCAAGGCACTGAAAGAGAATTTTAAGAATTCTTATTCTCAATCAGTCTAATCTGTAAAACCAATCATGACAGATACCCTGCAGAACAGCTATGCGAGGAAGCTTTCCACTCAATGGTACATATTTTCAAGTTAACGAGGTAAGATCAGATGAAGTCCGTGTACATCAAAGTACTCGTCTTTTGAAATGGGTTAGAGAGTAAAATTTGCAAATTTACAGGTGTTTGCTGACCATGAATCTAGCCTGAAACCTATCAATGTTCCAAGAGACTGGTTATGGAATTTGCCACGACGAACTGTGTACTTTGGAACGTCCATACCCACAATATTTAAAGGTAAATGGGTTGACATTCATTATAGATATTTCCAAGAAAGCCTGACACTACATTTTTCTCTTTATTTTTATCAGGTCTATCAACAGAAGGGGTTCAGTGTTGTTTTTGGAGAGGTATGTTTTATCCTAACCACTATATCAAAACCTGTCTCAACAGAATTTAAGTAATTTGAGTACCATTCAGATCAAGCCAGTATAGCTGCCTGTCTCATGATTCTGCGTTTCTCACTAGGAAAGACCACAAGTGTGAATGGACTCAACCTAAGCATGTTAAGCCTCAGAGCAAGAAAATGAAAAGCATTCTTTAATGGCCAAATACATCATTTCCTTAACAGCACAAGTAGATGTGCAAGTTTCACAAATGGAACATTGTTGCTGTGTTTCATACTTCCTCATCACAGGGGAAAAAAGGCAAAATTGCAGGAAGGTTCCCAACCTATTAAATTTGTGCAAACAGGTCCCGACCTTTTTTTGCAACTGGATCCTCAACATTCCAAGGTTTTAGCACCTTGGTCCCTAGTTTAACAGTTTTCATCAATATTTCCATTCATAAATCATAAGCTAAGTGACTCTCATACATCAAACTTTTTGCGGGTTAAAATTGTTACACACTAAATTTTATGGAAATAATAAATAAAGCGAGAAAAAAGCCTCAACCACTTAGCCACCTCGCTCCTCCCCCTCGAACAGGACCAACTCCCCCAATTTCCCCCTGTAACCCCCCCAATCCACCTCTTGCAACCACTCCCTACCCCCTTCCTACCCTTGCCTAGTATGGCAATATGGGGATCGGGGTAGGGGGAGGAAAGGAAGGTAGAAGCTTGTGCATTTAATATTTTTATATTTTCTTGTTTCAATTAAAGATAACAGTAAATTTGTCTTTTCCCAAAAATCTGTTTTTTCTGTAAGCAGAGGAGAATACCATCCACTTGAGACTTTAGTAATCCAAATGCCAAGAAATAAAAGTTGGGAACCCAAATGCTACTTTACCTATGGGTTGGGGACCTCTTGCTGAAAAAAAGGATGAGAGGCAAAAAAGGATGGATTGATGAGCTTTCCATCCCTTGAGGAGAAAAAAACATTTCACTTCAAGAAGATGGGATGGCAGAAATAATAGGCCTTTTCTTGTTCGGATGCAAGGACAGTGATGACATAGCATTTCCCTCATATTTACTACAAATGAATAAGTTATTCCCATTTACCTTCAATTTGTCCCTCCTCCTAGAGGGATTTGAGATAGTGATTAGAAACAAATAATTGCACCTCTGCTTCCCTCGCTTCAAATTCCTTTATAAAAAGGTGGGAATTGGCCATCTCGCAATCCATTTCCCTCCCCTATATATTTCTACTTTACCATAACTTTTACTAGCATTGCATGATAGTTCCATTTCCAGCAATGGATGCCAAGAAACCAATCAAATCCCTGCCTAATTCCAGACTTCCCTGTATTAATCTCTCCCTTGAGTGCATAAAACTTTCTTATGAAACTCTCCCTCTGCGTGTGTCTCTTCACCACTTCTTCATGTTTCACACTTATTTACTATTTGAATAAGATATCTCAGCAATAAAAAAACTCATATTTGAAACTTGAACGTGCTCCATAAAAGAGACTGTCTCCGTCATATCATGTTTTTTGTCCAACTTGTTGAATTGATTCTTCACTCTAGATTTCTATTGCCAAATAGATACACAACTAGATCACCACAATAAACTTGTTAAATGTAAGCAATTACATCCACGAATTTATCAATGAATACTCAACCTAGCAAAAGCAAAAAAAAAAAAACTGGGGGACATGAAAAAACCGAACATGAAAATTTTACGCCATTAACCTCAAGCAAGAAACATGACAATCTTACATGTACTCAACATCTTACCCTAAAAGTTAAATCATGTTGTACCCCTTCGTCTCTAGTCCTAAAGATAGGTGTTTTTTATCAAATTATAGAAGCTACATTTACGTCCAGTAGTACAGGATAACTATCTATTCACAACTCTTGAGTAATATCCTAACTTCTGCACCTGTGTGTTACTCATAATTTTGTCATGTTTTCCAGGCTTTGTCTGTGTAAGGGGATTCGATTGGAAGACTCGTGCACCACGTCCCCTCATTGCTAGACTGCATTTCCCAGCCAGTAAGGTAACTAAGGTAAAGTGAAGGACAGGTGAGAATTAGGTATCATCCCACTCACCATGGCTAACAATAGGAGTATGTAGAAACAGCATTAGCAGGAATGGCATCATAACATGGTTCTTCACAGTGCAAAAGGAAATGAAATCAACCATTTCTATACATGAAAATGGAGGGAAATCAGGTCTGCATAGAATGAAATTGTAATATTTCTGCTCAAAGAACAAATATATCGTTACAGTCGACATTAGAGAGCCTTTCTTCTAATTTATTATGAAGCTTTTTTAGTTTACTCCAAATCCTGGAGTCTCTGCAAGTGCATGAACAGGAAAGCACTACTTGTGGCACTATGCTCCGGCTAAGCAGAAGAAATTTATTTATAATGAACCTTTTTTTCTTGTAAGAAACAATAAAGTAGTTGAACATGTTTAAAAATAAAAAATTTACCTAAGCTAACACCACTGACGTCAGCAACAGAATGTATTAACTTTGATCCTTGAAGTTAAAGATGTTTTAGTTCGTCAATAGGAACACGGCATTCACGGTGTGGACTAAGTATAATTGCAAGTTCTCAGCTACCTACTAAAGATAACATTATCAGATTACAACAAACCGAAACAAGGAAATAAAAAAAAATGCAATGTAACACGGACAATTCTTGATGCACGTTCTTAGCTGTCGGTTTTCTTAGTAAAACTAATTCTTGATAAATATCCAAAACTGTGATTTCGTGGAAGTAGCGCTCTGCTAAATTTGTCTTGGTAACAAAATGCTCGTGCATTCATGTGCTAACCTTTGATGGCATATCGGAGTTGAGAAGTGTATTGTTCCCTTTTCAGTTGCTCAATACACGATTTAATTTGTAATCATTATTGAAAATAAGGAAGGAAACGAAATTGAAGTCTGCTGTACTGCAGAGAAGGAAATGATAGATTCAACATGACGATTTCATGTTGAAGATTGGAATAGAATCCAATAAAATACAATGAATAAAAAGTGATCTAATTATAGACTAAAAAACTAACTAACTAACAAACTATCTAACTACATAGAAGTCTCTAGAATGAAGCTGAGCTGGATATTCTAACACATCCCCCTCAAGATGGACTATGGAGATCAACAATAGTCCATCTTGAAGATTAAAGTGTGGGACATGAAAAAAAAGAAAGGAAAAATCTGAATTAACAATTTGGAGAAGCTGAGTTCAACTACTAATTCTGAATCTGTTGAACTGAATGTCGCAGTTTCTACTGTTTCATTGCTCACTTCCCCAACACCTATCTCTGCTGGGCTAGTAGAAACTTCTACTGCCATCAAGATCAATGAAACCGAAAAGATGTGGCTTTATCAAGATCCTTTTGGAAAAGTACAAGGACCATTTTCCATACTGCAGTTGCGTAAATGGAGCAATACAGGGTACTTCCCCACAGAGCTAAGAATTTGGAGAACTGCAGAAAAGCAAGAAGATTCTATACTTCTAACTGATGCTTTGGCAGGGAAGTATCGGAAAGAGTTACCGGAAGTTGGAAATAAACTGCATAATTCACATATTTCGTCTGATCATTCTGCCAAGACTCTTGAAACTTCCTTACGCCTGGATATGAAGAGATTGAATGCTGAACAAAAGCCTGCTGTTGAGAGGTGAGCCAACCACCAATTCCAGAACAAGGCTGGATCTGAAGCCAAAGATATCTTCTGATTTGGCATGAATTGGAAACCATGAATTAACATCCATAAAGGAGAAGAACACAGAAAATGGAATCGGAATAAATTCTATGAAAACATCTCTAGTACAAAGCTAGAGAGAATAGAAGGAAAATGAACCAGATCCATCATCAATGGCGGAATAACTCATTGATGAGGAAGAATTGAACAAATCAGCTTCTGTCAATTGCTGTGAAATCAGGTCATTGATGAAGATGAATTGCTCTAGTTTTGGATCTGTGTTGATGAGAGGCTCGGTCGCCTTTAGTGAATGCTAAAAAAAAAATCATATTCCGGTAGAATGCTAGAGTGAGGAGGAAGAATAGAACTGAGATATCAGGCTTTGTTGATCTTCAGTTTCATTTGTGGATGGCAAAATCAATGGAGAATCTCTCAACTGCTTGAACGGACTGAAATTGGATGTGTGAGATTGATTGGAGGTAAAAAAAAAAAAAAATTATATCTAATGAAATTTGAGCAGAATGGTGGAGAGCCTTTCCGGCTCTGATATCATATTGAAAATAAGGAAGGAAACGAAATTGAAGCATGCTGTACTGCAAGGAAGAAAATGATAGATTCAACATGATGATTTCATGTCGAAGATTGGAATATAATCCAATAAAATACAATGAATACAAAGTGCTCTATTTATAGATTAAAAAACTAACAAACTATCTAACTGCATAGAAGTCTCTAGAATGAAGCTGAGCTGAATATTCTAACAATCATGGCGCACTGAACAAAGGATTGAATTCCAAGTAAAATGAACCAAGTTGAATCAATTTCGAAGGATTAAAATTACAAAAATCATGATCAGCGCTTCACAAGTCGTATTCAGTAATTATCTTTCAAAGAGCATTAACATAAGAAATCGCCAGAATATTAGCATAAATGGCCTATATTGTTCTATCAAGAAATCCTTATATAGTTTTTACCTGTAAATCCTAATCAAATCAGGAAAATTTGGAGGTACGACTAATATACAAGGTCGGATACTATTAACAATGATTGAATTCTCGATCATCCAAGACACTGAATCTTCAGAACACTGCGGCTTAAGATTGTAATGAGAGACATGGAACTCTAATCCTAAATGAATTCAATAGCAAATATTCAATTTCAACGCCTTCAATTCCACGGACTTCAGAATTAAAAATTGTCCAATTGAACTTCTAATATGATATTTTATTCATCATCTTCCTTGATTCAAAGCAATCAAATAGAGGTTGTACGCTCATATAATAACAAGTATATACGCGATAAGATTCCTTGACGCCTATCCAATATATAAATCAATCGACATAAAAAAAGACATAGTGATATTGAGAAGCAATTGATGAAAAAATCAATTGACGGAGACGCTTGTATATAGAATATACATAAATGTGTATATATGCAAGGGATTGTACCTGAAAATCTTCCGTAAGGAGCAGATGAAAAGAGTGAGGACAGAGTAGCGATTGTGCACAGAGAGGTTTAGGAAAAATTTTGCCGCCTTACCTCTTTAAGAATCCCTCCATTTTTTTGACTTCTTGTTCACGCGCTACGTCGCGAGTATGAATAGGGTTCAGTGGATAAAATACAAGGCTTAATCCTTGCGATCGGATTTGACGTTCTGGATTCTGTCCGAGCCTAGTCTGGGTTCGGGCTCTTTGATCTTTCCTTTTGACATGAGGGGGCGTTTTTACCAAGAATGACTCGGGGCAGACCAGAACTGAATCGAACAAGGTGGTTCGGTTCTGGTTAAGAATGGTTAAATTGCTAATTCCGATATGATTCTCAATCATGAGAATCATGGCTAGAGAATCAAAAATGTTTTTGATTCAATATTAATAATACTTTTTTTATAAACCTTTCAATTAAATTATAATTTATACATGAATTTATATCTACTATATCAAAAAAATTGTGGTTTAAAAAAAAAATAAGAAGAAAATATATGTAACATGTTACTTTATTTTTGAAGCATAAAAATATTGGGCCAGACATTGATTTTGGTCTGATATTTCTCATAGATACAATGATTTTGTTGACAACAAAAATGAGGCCCAATTAAATAGTCCAAAGAATGAAATCCAGTTAGAAAATTTGAAGGATGGACCCAAACCCAATACGGAGTTATGTAATGGAGGTCCATCATCGCTCAAAGCCTAGGGAGACCCATCATCGCCCAAGACTATGAGATACCCAGACGCCCAAGATCTGGGCGAGCCCGTCATCGCTCAAACTTGTATAACGCTCAAAATCTGGGCGAATATAGTGTTTTGATTACTGTTTGAAGCAACGGTTATTACGTCAGTTAATGGGTAATCTTATCACATTCCACGATCCAAAAATCTCGGTTGCAAAAAGTTTAGAGAATGGAGTAATGACAATTGTTTAAAATGGTAGTTTCATGACAAATCATCCATGATGGAGAAAGTGGGTAGTTACAAGACGATGGGCAGTTTCCAAGAATTTTCAAACGGTTTTACAAGAAAAACTGTCAAATTAGTATAAAAGAGAAAGAAAAATCTACAAGTGAAAAAAGATCGGACCAACTCTCAAACAGAGAACTATATAATTTCATTTCTTAATTAACTTTCAATTATTTCCTTCTAATATCCGTGTGTTTGCGCCCCTTGAAAGCATTTTGTTTTGTCCACATTGTAATCTTCATCAATAAAACACCCCTCGTTAGGACTTTGTCTCGAGAGGTTGTTGTTCCTTACACAATCATCTGATCCATCTTTTAATTGTTAGCGATTTCCACACGAAACAATTTGGCACGCCCAGTGGGACAATTGGTGCTTCAAGATATGAAAAGTGAAATCAATATGCCTCATAAAAACTCTGATAAGAAGCCAGAAAGCCAACGAATAGTCCAGTCTGTAATCGAAAGAAATGAAGAGCAGCAAAGTGCTTCACGAACAGAGGGACAGAGTCAAAGTCATTACGAGTCAATGACGGAGTTGAGTCCTCGAACCATGCATGCATTGCTTGGGGAACTCACACACGATGTTGTTGAACAGGTAAATTTACAGAATGTTCATAACATGGTTTGCTCAAAATGGAAATGTACATTATAACAACATGGCCAAACAATTAAACACTTTAAATGAAATCATGAATAAGTTGGTATGCCAAATTTGTCAACCAGTTATGCCGAGTTTTCAAGCCAGGAAAATTATGGGACATAATTCACCGGTCCTGAGTTTGAATCAAGTAATAGAGCCACCTTTTGGACCGTCCACTTCAAACTAGAAGGGATGGTGGAATGGCAATTTTGAATATTGGAAATGGAATATCAAACCTAAGGGGTAATCTAAATGCAAGAGACAATATCCAAACCAATGGATAGAACACCCTGCATGTTAATAATGGTTGAAATACTCAGGCTAACGGTAATAATGGTCTAAATAATGGAGCATTTGCCACAAACCAAGAACCAAATGTTAGGCCTCAAACAATCCCCCAGTAAATCAACCTATAGGAGTCACATGTGATCCCAACGTTATGTTAAGGAATCAAATTACGGAGATAGTGCAAGATCAAATGGCTTTTGGGATGCGTCCTTTTATTAGGCATACTTACACAAAGTCATATCCTGATTGGATAGATCAAGCATATATGTGGCCTAGTGGGTAATAAGTACCAGAGTTTTCATTATTTACGGGTCTGAGAGAGGTCTCTACTCTGGAACATATAGAGACCCAAACTTCATGTTCATGTTATTAATGATGAATATTACAATCAGACGGAAGTATGTTTGACCGAATTGATTAAGGGAGATGCATATGCTTGTCCTATAATGGTCAAATTTAGAACATCGGGTAAGGATGAGCCTGTAAAAAAAGGAGAACAGAAAGGCTAGGATATTTTCATTTGATGTGACCAACGCTGACCTTATATTCGATAAATTAGATAAGGATAAGCAAATAAAGTTGAGCGACAAGCATAAATTGCCAGACCCTAAACAAATTAAGGGTAAAAAAATTGTAAATGGCACAATGCATGGTCACATATGACTAATAAAGAAAATGACAGTGGATGAAAATCCATTTCCACAGCCACTTGGGGTGAACATGGTGACGACTGGTTTCAAAAATAAGTTGTCAAGATTCAAGTTGGTTGTAGATGACGGAGAAGAAGATTCTGGGTCACATCCTAGTGTTTTTGTACGTATCAAAGGAAAGGAGCCTAGAGAGGACGGAAGCATCCTGTGTACGAGATGTAAGGGAGAAATGAATGCAAATATAGAAAGACCAGGAATGTGGCGACATCACCATCGTCTTGATATTGTCCCAAATATCCAGCCTGGTAAAGGACGGGGTGTGTCATTCTATAGAGGACCGCCTTTTGAGAGACAGTTCAGGCCGATAAACAATGGGAGAACATTCAGGCCGCAACCTCGCCACCAAATGTATGACATTCATTCTAATATAATGCAGGAAGGGTTGTACCCTTCAATCAGATGACCAGAACCCAACAAAGGCATTTTCAACGGAACTATAGACGAATGATTAGGCAACAACAGGGATTGCCACGTCCTAAGGCACCTAAGTTGCTTGAGGTGGCTAACAAAAAACGTTCTTGAAGATAATAAAGAGGTCGGTATGGGTGAATCAATGGAAGAGTTACCAAAAAGTTCTTCCGGGAGATCAAAATTTGAGCATGGGAAGAAGGATGAAAAAGATCCAGAGCAATCCCTCACTATTGAGTTCGGTATATTACCTCCCGTTATGGCTAATAATTATTTACTAGCCAATGAATTTAAAAATAAAGAGAATGAAGAGGAAGAAATGGAGGATAACCAGGAGGAAGCATGTGTGCTGAAATGTGAAAAAGGTCAAACATCTCGAGAGGTATATGATAAAGAAGGGGATGATGGCATGATGGACATCGAAAAAGAAATTGATTTTGAAGAAGAGAGAAGAAAGAGGGGAGTGTCGCGCAATACTT